ATCAGATTTGTATGGAACCTCAAAAGATCCTGAATAGCCAAAGTAATCCTGTGAAAAAAGAACAAAATTAGGGGTATCACGCTACCTGACTTCAAATTATTCTACAGAGCCACGATAATCAAAACAGCATGGTATTGGCAGAGAAACAGACGCACAGATCAGTGGAACAGAATAGAGAGCTCAGCTTTAAAACCAAATGTACTAGTACATGGACAGATAATTTTCATATATATATTATTGATTTCAGAGAGGAAGGGAGAGGGAGAGAGAGAGATAGAAACATCAATGATGAGAGAGAATAATTGACAGGCTGCCTCCTGCACATCTCCCACCGACCCCTATTGGAGATCGAGCCCACAGCCCGGGCATGTGCCCTGACCGGGAATTGAACCATGACCTCCTGGTTCATAGGTCGACACTCAACCACTGAGTCACTCCAGCTGGGCTGGACAGATAATTTTCGACAAAGGAGCCAGACACACACAATGGAGTAAAGATAGTCTCTTCAATAAATGGAGCTGGGAAAACAGGAAAGCCACATACAAAGGAATGAAACTGGATTGCAATTTGTCCCCATGTACAAAAATTAATTCGAAATGGACCAAAGACCTAAATAGAAGACCCAAACAATAAGTTACATAAAAGAAAATAGAGATACCAAACTTATGGACCTTGGTCGTAGAGAACATTTTATGAACTTGACCCCAGAGGCAAAGGAAGTAAACGCAAAAATAAATGAGTGGGACTGAAACGAAAAAGCTTCTGCACAGCAGACGAAACTGACAGCAAAACAAAGAGGCGGCCAACCAGATGGGAGATGATATTTGCAAACAGCAGCTCCGACAAAGGTTTAATTTCCAAAGTATAGGAAGAACTCATAACACTCAACACCAAACAAGCAACCAAGCCAATCACAAAGTGGGCAGAGGACCTGAAAACACTCCTCTCCCAGTGAGACATATGAAGAGCCAACAGATATATTGAAAAGATATTCAACCCCACTGGCAATCAGGGAAATGCAAATCAAAACTACAGTGAGATACCGCCTCACACTTGTTAGCGTGGCCGTTATCAACAAGACAAGCAATAACAAGTGTCGGGGAAGTTGTGGGAAAAAAGGGAACCCTATCCACTGCTGGTGGGCAGGTAGACTGGTATGATCGCTATGGAAAACAGTCTGGCGATGCCTCAAACCATAAGAATAGAGCTACCAGATGACCCAGCAATCCCTCTCCTGGGGCTGTACCCCCAAACCTCAAAAACATGTCTTCACGAACATAGATGCACCCCTATATTCATTGAAGCATTATTCACGGTGGCCAAGACATGGGAACCACCAAAGTGCTCTGCAGTAGAGGACTGGATACAGAAGCTGTGATACGTGCACACAATGGAATACTCCTCAGCCACGAGAACGGATGAAACAGCGCCATTTGCAACAGCAGGGATGGACCTTGAGAACGTTATGCTAAGTGAAAGAAGCCAGACAGAAAAAGCTAAGAACCATGTGACTTCACTCATCTGTGGGATAGAAAACTGAAACTCGTGGACACAGACAGCAGTGTGGTGGCTGCCGGAGGGAAGGGGTGAGGGGAGAAGGGGGTCCTAATAGATGGAGATGGGAGATGTGACTGGGTGGTGGGTACACGGTGCAGTATACAGACCTTGTAACATAGAAACCCACACCTGACACCTGTATGTTCATGTTGACCAATGGCACCCCAGTCAATTTAATATAAAAAAATAAAGGGAAACAAGGCTCTAAATAAATGAATAAATAAATAAGTAAGTAAGTAAATAAATAAATAAAACAGACTGCTGATAGCTCTGCTACCCTCTTGTGCCCTACAATTAGTTATGGGAATAAAAAGCCAAGCCTTGACCCCCTTCCCCCAATGTCTAAGCTAACCTGCACCATGGTTCTGGCTTTATGGTCTCCAAGAACTTTCACTGCCAGCAACACAGCTTCTACTCCAGGGCAATAGGCCGGGACTTTGTGAACTTGAATTATGTGCCGTCTTCAGAAGCAAGAATGGCTCCAGGTTGATGGACATCCCTGATGCCCCTTGGGTGCCCTTGGCTGGGCGCAGGCCCTTCCCTCAGCTTGCCGCTCTCTAGGGGACCAGTCTGACCGGGGATCATCACACCTCCCCGGGCCCCCGCACCAATGGGCGTGGGGTGAGTGTGGGAGGGGGACTCTCCACGAGGAGGTGCGATCAGGCAAGGCTGTGCGCAGGTCCTGCGCAGACAGACATTTCAGACATTTTCCCGGTGGCATCCGAGGGCCCCCGGTCTCCCTGCAGCAGCCCCCAACTCCACAGCTCGGACTGCTGGGCCGGGCGCCTTGTCCCACAGGGCCCTCCCTAAGCCCCTGCCCTCTGACTCCCTGCGGAGGCCTGCCCAGTGCTCCTGGGCCCAGCAGCCTGACAGGCGCCCCCTCTTGCAGGTGGTGAGAAGCTACAAGGCGACCATCCAGCAGACCTTGGACATCCTCTTCCTCCGGGAAGGCTCTGAGTTTCTGAGCAGCACAGATGCTTCGAGCCGGGACTCCGCCGATCGCACCATCATCGCCTGGGATTTCCGGAGCTCCGCCAAAATCTCCAACCAGATCTTCCATGTGAGAAACCCGACTGGCATTGCGTTCTGCTTCGGCCCCGTGTAGCCCTCGGTTGTCGGGTCCCGGATCACTTCCCGTGGGAGACGGTTCAGTAGGCCGGGTCTTTGCAGGCAGATTGGCCGCCTGAAATTTCTCGGGGAGGGGAAGGCGAGCCCAAGTCCACTGGCTCCCTGTGACAGTATCTCCCTAACTGTCCTCCCACCCGTCCCCGCCCTGTCCAGCCACCCCACAGGGTGAGGGTGTGGAGGGGCAGCCAGTACAGATGGACTGGTAGACGGCCGAGCAGCTCGAGACACCACTACCCTTTCTTGACCACCCCAGCCAGCCATGGAACTCCGCCCTCCTTTGCTGAGTAGCTTTGGCAGGAGCTGTGACTCAGGAGTTCAAGCAGAGAAACTCGAGTTAGACCACTTGAATGATGGTTCTGGATCCACCACCAACAAACGGGGGCCCTGGGCCCATTACTTAGCCGTTTGGATTCTCATTGTCCTTTTAGAAAATTGAGGATGAGAATATTACTTGCCTCATAGAGTGGTTTTGAGAATTTAAAGAACACTTATTAAGGGTCTAGAATGGTGCCAGGTACAGGGATTGCTTCATAAATTACCTATATTATCACCATCATCACCACTGTCATCACCACTGTCATCTTCACCACCGTCATCATCACCACCACCGCCATCAGACCTTGTCACATAGAAACCCACATCTGATAGTGATGAAACCCACATCATCATTACCACCACCACTATTATTACTAATCACCATTATCATTGTGATCACCACCACCATCATCATAACTATCACCATTATCACCATCATCACTACTATCACTATCATCATCATAACTATCACCATTGTTACCATCATCACCACCATCACTATCACCACCACCACCACCACATCATCATCGTTTTAACTATCACTATCATCACCACCACTGTATCATCACCATCACTACCACCACCATCACCACCATTATCATTATCACTGTCAACACCATCACCACCACCACCATCATTTAAGATTTCAAATGAGCCATGGCTAATCTCTTTGGTGCTCCCACCCTGAATTTAAAAATATGTGTCAGGTGTACACGCACACCTTTTCCTTCTCCTTGCTTTTCCCTTGTCTTCAGATGGTTCTGAGTGACCCTGAGCAGACCTGCCTCTAGACCTCACTTTAGGGTCCCATGTAATCTCCTAGGACAGTGATGGCGAACCTATGACACGCGTGTCAGAGGTGACACACGAACTCTTTTTTGGTTGATTTTTCTTTGTTAAGTGGCATTTAAATATATAAAATAAATATCAAAAATATAAATCTTTGTTTTACTATGGTTGCAAATATCAAAAAATTTCTATATGTGACACGGCACCAGAGTTAAGTTAGGGTTTTTCAAAATGCTGACACGCCGAGCTCAAAAGGTTCACCATCACTGTCCTAGGAAAAGCAGGCTGTGGGAGGAGAATGGGGGGCACGTCTGACCACCGGGGCTTCCTGCGTCCGTCAGCCCCAGCAGAGAGCAGGGGAAGCGAGTGGGGTGGGCGGAGCGCTGCTGGCCTGAGTCATCCCAGACTCACACCTCCTGGCCGGCAGCATCGCACGGGGCGCTCCTCATGGGGCCGCCACGGCATCCTGCCTCATGCGCACACGAGCCTGCAGCTGGGTGTTATTACTCCGACCGCTCCTGCTTTGCCCTCTGAATTTGGGCAACTCTTAGAACGTGAAAGGACAGGCGATGCTGGAAGGGAGTTCGAGTTCCCGGGGGTGCTTCTGTGTGACTGAGCCCATCAAACAGTAGATTTCCCTGCCGGGTTTTGAACACTGTTCTCATTTATCTTCTCACTTGATCATTTACCTCTTCACGGGCTGCATGTGGACTGTGTGGGGCCCTGCGCCTGCTGCCCCTGAGGGCCCCCTGTGGAATGGGGGGATGGGCACGCACATTCGTTCTCTGCTCCCGGGCAACATGGTACCACAGATGGGAGGCTTCCGCCATCAGCAGTGCATCCCCACGCATTTCTGAGGATAGCTGTTTGCCTCCGTATCCCTGGGCTGGATCAGGTGCTGGCAGGGCCCGCTCCCTCTGAGATGCGGGGCAGATCTGTCCCTTGCCGCCTCGCGTCTGGTGGCTGCTGGTGACACTGGGCCTCCCCCCGAGCTCTGCACCAGCATCTGCAGGTCACTCTCTGATCCAGGTTCACATCACCTGTGTGCGTCTCCTCTTCCGTGCCTCCCTTAGAAGGATACACGTGGCTGAATTTAGGCAAGAATACAGGGTAACTCCCTACATCAAGATCCTTAACTTAGTTACTCCTGCAAAGACATGCAAGGTGTCATTCCCGGGCCCTAGGAATTAGGACGTGGGTATATTTTGGGGGGCCCTTTAAGATCCACCACAAGGGCCGTGGGCCAAGGAGCGCAAGTGGAGCCCCTGGAGCGAGCACAGCCCTGCTGCTGGCACCATGATTAGCCCAGCCAGACCCCGCTCGGACTTCTGACCTCCAGATCTGTACGAGCCTAAGTTTGTGTGTTTCCAGCCACTAAGTTGGCGGCAGTTGGTTACAGCAGCAGCAGGAAACTCATACCAACCCGAAGCCAAGGTCCGGGAGGAGGGCACACGACCTGTGAGCAGAGCGCAGGGCGGCATGTCTGCGGAGGCAGCAGGCACAGCCCAGCAGCCTTCTCCCTCTCTGGCCCGCTGTTTCTCAGGAGAGGTACACCTGCCCCAGCCTGGCCTTGCACCCGCGGGAGCCTGTGTTCCTGGCCCAGACCAATGGCAACTACCTGGCCCTCTTCTCCGCTGTGTGGCCCTACCGGATGAGCAGAAGGCGGCGCTACGAAGGGCACAAGGTACCGCTTACCTGCCCCCCTCACCCCGAGAAGGCTGAGCACTGGCCGCAGAGCCTCCCGCCACACCATGCCAGCCACGGACTCTGCCTCGGGGGTCAGAGAGCACAGACCTCTGTCCAGCAGATTCTGTTTTCTGCTTCTCAGGTGACCACATGCTGTGTGGCCTGGTGTCCACTCAAGGCCTGGGCCGTATCTGGCTCTGCCCCGGGCCCCGGCTGCAGCGGGAAAGGTTTCCTCTGATTCCGCTCATGTGGACCTGTCTCAGAGGTTAGGGATGGGGCAGGACAGAGTCTCTAGCTCCACCCCCTTTCCTCACTGAGACCTGCCTCCTGTGGGGGAGGGCCCTGGGCTGGGAGCTGTGCCTCCTGGGTACCACTGAGGTCACCGGTACACGAGATAACCTGTGCACGGCCACCCAGGACCCGCCTCAGGGGAGCTTGGGCTCTGCCTGCTGCTCTGTGGTGGGTGGAATGACCGCCACCGCGCAGGCGTGATGCGGGCTCATTCGTGTCGCCCTTGCAGGTGGAAGGCTACGCGGTGGGCTGCGAGTGCTCCCCGGACGGAGACCTGCTGGTGACGGGCAGCGCGGACGGCCGGGTCCTGCTCTACTGCTTCCGCACGGCCAGCCGGGCGCGCACGCTGCACGGGCACACGCAGGCCTGTGTGGGCACCACCTTCCACCCTGTGCTGCCTTCTGTCCTCGCCACCTGCTCCTGGGAGGGTGACATCAAGATCTGGCACTGAGCCTTCCAGCGCAGCGCCCCTGGACAGACATTGCCGCCCGGCTCCCTGGGGTGGGGGGGACTAATGCCGAGGCTGGCGCTCCCCGCTGGGGTCCTCAGTTTCCTCTGAAGCCAGGCCAGCAGCCTTTTGTCTCAGTGGTGAGGCTGGGAAGTGAGCGCCTGGCACCCTGCTCGTGGCGCTCAGTAAATACGCGCGTTTCGCTGTTTTGTAGGTGACTCCAGCGATAAATGTGTGTTGGCAGTTCCTCTCGCCGCCCCACTTGCGCCCGCTGGAGCTCGAAATGAGAAGCTGGGATCTGGAGAGGGGGCAGCCCGCTCTGTGGGTCCTGACGAAGGGGCCCAGGAAAGGGGGGCCCTGGATCTCAGGTCTGTCCTCGGGAACTCGGCAGAGCATGGCCGTCCACCCGTCCCACAGGGCCTAGGCTGGCCCAGTCTGCTCAGGCCCAGGCCCCCTTCCTCCCCACGGAGCACGCCAGCTGGTCCCCGGGCTGCCCCAGCCCTGCCGGGGGATGCAGTGATGTGGAGAAGGGCCGGGCCCTGGAGGAACTTCGAGGAGTCAGGCTGGGAAGACCCAGCTGCTGGGATCTGCGGGGCTGCTGAGCACTACACCCCACCAGGACTCTTATTGAGGGGCTGCCCCAAGAGCCCAAGGATCCACCCACGGGTCAGGGGGACTGCAGATGCCACGGCTCAGGGCAGAGGGGTCCCTGCAGCCTTGGAAGGCTTCCTGGAAGAGGCAGCTGGTGAGCTGGTGAGGAGGGCGTCCCAGCAGGGGAGTCAGTGAGGAAACATGGAGGACGTAAGGAGGAGGCCATGGGCGGGTGGGGGAGCTGCAGGAATGGTGGGCAACAGCCTCTCCCTGAGCCGGGCCCCAGGCCCCGCCTGCTGTCAGGAGCCGTCCTCGAGGCCCTTCCTTTTTCAGGCTGGTCCCCTTGAACCAACCAGAGCTCTGCCCGCTTCGGGCGGGGAGACATCCAGGCTCCCAGAAGCCACAGAGGCTGTTCTTAGTGCTGCGTGTGGGCTTGATCAACTCCGCCCCGAGGCCCAGCTGCCTGCAAGCCCTCCCCTTGGCTGGGTGGCTCACTGGGAAGAATGGCAGGTGTACTCTATGCCTCTCTCGGTTTCCTTCTCTGAACGCTTTCTTCCAAAGAGCATTCTTAGAGGCTCACTCTGGTCCTCTGCCAGGTGGCGGGGAGTGCACCATTCACCATGTGACAGGAAGAAAGCCAACTTTAGAAAGTGTGGGGCAGGGATGAGGAAGTGTGGGCTGGGCCTGCCTCTCCTTCCTGGGCTGCGTGCTCACGTTTACTCGCTCATACGTCTGCACGGCCGGCCCGAGGCTGTCGTGGGGAAGAACCCCTCATCTGGAGGTGCCGGCGTGGCTCTGAGTGCTGGGGCCCTGGCTGTGGCTGTGTGTGCTGGGGCCCTGGCCGTGGCTCTGAGTGCAGGGGCCTGGCTCCGTGTGCAGGGCCCTGGCCGTGGCTCTGAGTGCTGGGGCCCTGGCCGTGGCTGTGTGTGCTGGGGCCCTGGCCGTGGCTCTGAGTGCAGGGGCCTGGCCGTGGCTCTGAGTGCAGGGGCCTGGCTCCGTGTGCAGGGCCCTGGCCGTGGCTCTGAGTGCTGGGGCCCTGGCTCCGTGTGCAGGGGCCTGGCCGTGGCTCTGAGTGCTGGGGCCCTGGCCGTGGCTTCGTGTGCTGGGGCCTAGCCGTGGCTCCGAGTGCTGGGGCCCTGGCTGTGGCTGTGTGTGCTGGGGCCCTGGCCGTGGCTCCGTGTGCTGCAGGCCTGGCCGTGGCCGTGGCCTGGCATGTGGAGCTCATGCTCACAGCTCCGATGAGAGGGCCATGATCCGCTCTGTCCAGTTGAGGAAACCGCTGCTCAGAGGGCGGAGGGACGCGCCCAGGGCCATCTGAGTACAGAGCCTGTGCCTTTCCCCTCCCTCGGATCCCCTTGTCCCAGCTGGGGCTCCGCATGGGACCGTCACCCGTGGAGGGACCCTGGGAAGCTCGGCAGTCCCTTGTCCTGGGCTCCAGAGGGGGAACTGGATCAGCGGCATCTGGGACTTGCCCAGACAGAGTTGCGTGGCCAGCTGGTGGCATTGCCCACCCTGCGCTGCCCGTGGGATTGAGGAGGAACACCTGTGGCAGGTGGGTAGATGGTAGGTGCACGGACAGGATTCCCCTGGTGCGGCAGGATTCCGGGTGCAGGGAGAAGGAGGTTGGTAGAAGGGGGTACCCCACATCAGGGCAGCTGGCTTTGGGGGCCCCTGGAGACAGCTCTGTGAGGCAAGGAGGGCACTTTAGGCTCTGAGGCGATGTGGGGCCAGACCCCTGAACCTTAGGAGAGGCTCTGGGCCAAGGCTGCGTAGCCCTTAGGGTTGTCAGTGCTGCTGTGTCACATGGCTGACACGGGATGGGGGGCTGATGAGGCTCAGGCTCCCCATGGGAAGGCATCTGAGAGAGAACCCACTGGGTGCCAGGGGCTGCTCTCTTCCCCTGCACCCTCCCAGTTGCCCCCAAACCCCCTCCCCCAGGCCAGGGAGGGTCGCTTCCTCCGTCTGCCCATGGAAAACAGCCCCTGAGCCTCTCCACAGCCCCCTCTGACTCTGGGAGGCTGCTTCCTGGGGTGAATCTGCTCCTGGGGGAGGTAGTTGGGGTCCTCTGGCCTCCTCTGCAGAGGTGGGTCAAGGGCAGGGATGCTGGGACCACCGCCAAGGACCCTCCCACTTGGGGTTGCCTAGCAAGAGGCAAACCCACCCCAGACAGGTGACGCTGGGCAGGCCAGGGAACTAAAGGCCTGCACCGGGCCCAGGTGGTCCCCAGTGGGAGTGGCTGGCCCTGGAAGGAGGGACCATGAAGCCCCTGGGGAGGGGCCCCCATCACAGGTCTTGAAGAACCTGTAAGAGCATCCTCAGGGCATCAAAGATAACCAGGCAACTGGAGGAACGAAGCAGCTTGGGCAGGGACCAAGGGCAACAGACCCCGCGGGTTAGAAGGGCCAGGCCAGATGGCGAACCGCTGTGCCCACTGTGAGGACCTGCCTCCAGGGAGTAGGAAACTTAGAAAGTAGCCTCGTGGATTTGCCAAACAACCAGATAGAGCGCGTAGGAAGGGAAAACATTCACAGCTAAAACGAAAAACCCCGTGACTGTGTTTGGTGGCTGAGCAGGCACAAGAGGAGCGGAGCAGTGAAGACATTGCTACGGAGCATGTGGGTCAGCCGAAGGGGGGCAGATGGAGGATGCAGTGAGGAGGGGGGCGGGAGAGAGTGGGCAGGGAAATACCATCCAAAATAATACTTGAGAATGTTCCAGAACTGATGAAAGACCACCTGCAGACACAAGACTGAATTCCCGAGAAGGACAAATCCGTAAGCAGACGCAGCTCAGGGCAACTGCAGAAAACCCAAGTCAAAGGGAAGACCGAGGCAGATGACCCACCAGAGGAACAGCCCGGGGGAAGGACAGGGCGGTGGGACCCTACCCCCGAGTGCAGGGAGAGTGGCCGCCGCTAACCGCTCCCCGGTGAGAGCGCCCTCCAGGACGTCTGCAGAGCAATGAAAACGGGGGTGTCCGTCACTCACAGAGCCCCAGTAAAGGAGCGAAGTTGGACACACAGGAAAGGTTGGGGGTGTGCGTGTGGGAACACTGGCTGCCAGGGCAGTGGTCACGTCTAGCGGGTTGGGCAGTGGAGGAATTCAGACATTTGACAAAGACACCGGTGGGGGAGAGCTCTTGGGAGCCAGTCCTGGCTGCAGGGGGCAAGGGACAAGTGGGGGGGGGGCAACACTGAGGGCCACAGGTCCCAGAGGTCAAAAGGCAGGGCGGAGAAACAGCCCAAACCTGCATGCTTTCCACCACGTTTATTAGTGAGTGTCAAATACAGTAGTGACTGGAGGGCATGCATCACAGACGACAGGAGAAAAAAGCGGGCAGCGGGACGGGGACGGGGACCGGGAACGGGGATGAGCACCGGCCCGACTCGGGACGACGACCACGGGAGAGCTGGGTGCGGGTCAGCCGCACACGGAAACAGTTCGCGACGTCTCACGTCCCTTCACCCGCTGGTTCCCCTCCTTGTGGGCAGAGCTCCAGGTTTCCTTGTCGCTGGCTTTCGAGGTGTCAACACTGTCCTTCCCTCCAAGGGCCAGGCCCCACATGTCCTCGCCCGGAAAACAAAGGGGCTGTGTGTTGGAAACGCAAGGCGGCCATCCAGGGAGCTGGAGGCCACGTGCGTTGAGAAAGACCCTTTTTCTCTAGAAAAATAGTTTCACTTTATAAAAGGGGGGAATGCTCATCTCGGGTGGGGAACGATGTTGGTGTGAGAAACGTCCTCGGGGAGTTCCGTCGTGGTGGCGCTGGGGGTCACACATCACAGGGGTCCTCTTCTCAGGCTGCACTGGGTCACTACGAGGGAGGGGTCACTACAAGGGAGGGGTCACTACGAGGGAGGGGTCACTACAAGGGAGGGGTCACTGTGGGAGAGGGTTCACTACAAGGCAGAGGGGTCACTATGTGAGAGAGGGGTCCTACGAGGCTGAGGGGTCACTGTGTAGGAGAGAGGGTCCACTACAAGGGAGAGAGAGACACTACAAGTCAGAGAAGTCACTACAAGGCAGAGGGGTCACTGTGGGAGAGGGGTCACTACATGGGAGAGGGGTCACTACGAGGCAGAGAGGGGTCAGTAAGAGGCAGAGAGGGGTCAGTATGAGGGAGAGGGGTCAGTATGAGGGAGAGGGGTCAGTATGAGGCAGAGGGGTCAGTATGAGGGAGAGGGGTCAGTTTGAGGCAGAGGGGTCAGTATGAGGGAGAGGGGTCAGTTTGAGGCAGAGGGGTCAGTTTGAGGCAGAGAGGGGTCAGTAAGAGGGAGAGGAGTCACTGTGGGCAGTGCCCGGGGGAGTAAGTGTCCAGATAGGTGGGGCAGCGCCCTAGAGTGCACAGTGGGCGGCGGGTGCCCCTGGCCGTGGCCTTGGCCTGTGGGCAGGCGTTTAGTTGAGCAGGGTTCCGTAGAGCTGGGCTTTGGTGAGGCTATCCTTGCGGCTGAGGCCGGAGCTCCGGCTCCGGGAGAAGGCTGCCTGGGGGTTCCGGCGGGCCGCGGGATGCATTTCAGGGGAACCCTCCATGGAGCTGGGCTCGAAGGAATCTCTGGAGCTGAAGAGGCTGTCGGGCTCGGGGCTGGCCACCCCGCACAGCTGCCCCTGGGGCCGGTCGCCATCATCTTCGCTGGCAGCGTAGCTGGGCCTCTTTGAGTACATTGAGAAGTAATATAAGAGAATGGAGAAACGAGTCATTTGGCTGCTAAGGTGACTTTTTCCTGATTTGTAACAAATAACAGGGTTGGGGGTGGGGTCTTTTCACGCAATTCTGGAATGTAGAATGGTGTGACTTACAAGTTATACATTTCTATTCATTTTCTCTTTAACTGTAAAAAG